GCACACTCTGAAGAAGGGCACAGGTCACTTACTGCCCCATGTGAGTACACGCTCTGCCAAAGTCACTGTCTCCCCCAGGCCGTCCTTGGTTCATCCCTGCCTCAAGGTCCTGCCCTGTGCAATTGATTTTCCTCTACCCTAACTGGGGTGCTGTCCTTGCTCTCAGATGTCACCCAGCTGGGTGTAACCTAACATCCAGCCATTTTTTGCCATCAGCTGACACTTAGGGAAAAAAAAAAAAAAAAACAAGGCCTCACTCTGTAGCCCAGGTTGCCTCAGCCTGCCAACTCCTAGATTACAAGACTGCCACTGGGCCTGGCTTCTACTGGGTTAGACTATCGCATTATAGCATGCTGAGCAGCACCCGTGGCCTGTGTCTTGCCAATGGCTCCTCCCCCACAGTCACAGCAGACAGGTCTCCAGACACTGTTGTTCATCCCCACAAGGGGTAAAACTCACCTCCAGAGATACAGGTATGTGCCAGCCTGACATAGGCCCCATGCTCTATCATAGTGTCAAATGATGGAGGGGGAACCAGGCACCTTCCTCAACACAGACTGAGCCCCTCCCCAAGAGCAGCACCCAATGGATGCCCCTCCTCATAGCCACAGATGCTCCTCCTGCAGCCTCTCCTGTCCTGTCTCTTCTAAGGCCCAATTTAGCTGCTATCTATACTCAAGAGCCATAGGACCAGCCCAGGCTCAAGGTGTTGAGCCTGTCCTTGGTTCCTTTGCCCCATGTCATCCATGCCCAGCACGGGTATTCCCTCACCTGGCCTACCTCCAGCCTAGCTAAATGAGCTGCAGTCACAAGCCCAGCGTGTGCTCACACAGCTGCAGCCACAAGCCCAGTGTGTGCTCACACAGATGCTGGCTTTGCCAGGCCTTCCCGGAGGTTTGGAAGGTCCTTTGCCTGGGTTCACTCACCTGTGCTCTGAAAGGTGCCAGGCCCCAGCTTCCTACTGGACACTACTTTAGGGCCTTCTATCCTTAGCCCTCGTGCTAGAAGCACCTGCTAGCCCTGGCCCTGGGATACAACCTCCTTTTGGAAGGTCAGGGCCAAGAAGGCCTTCCTGTGACCTCATGGGCGGGAGGGGTGGGGGACGACACCTCCCCATTAGGAAATCCCTTGCTCTATGGGAACCAGGACTCAGGCAATGAATGACCAGGTCCTGAGGGTACCCTAAATCATAGACTATGGGGAGCTGGGATGGACTCCCAAGTTTTGGGGATCCCAGGGCCTCCTTCATACAAAGCACAAAAGTGACCGGAAACTCCGTCAGTAGAGTGATGGCCTAGCGTGCACAGATTGGTGGTACCATACAACTCAGTGTGATGACTGTTCTTCTGATCCTAGCACTGAGAGGTAGAAGCAGGACCATAAACTCAAGGTTATCCTTGGCTTCAGTGAGTTCAACGCCTGGCTGGACAACATGAGACCATCTGAAAATAAGTCGTAAGTGGGGAGGGGGCACTGGGGAGGGGCTGTTATTAAAATGCCTACAATGCAAACCTGAGTTTGGATTCCCAACACCCATGTTTAAAAAGAAAAAAAAAAAAAAGAGGCCAGCTTAGCAGCATTGGCTCTGTAACCCTAGAGCATCTCGGATGGAGGTAAGTGGATCCCCAGAGCTTGCTGTTCAGCCAGTCTAGCCAGTGATCACCAGGCTGCATGACATCCTGTCTCAAAAGAAAGGCCATCATGACAGCTCCAGGGGTAAAGGCACTTTCGACCTAAGTCTGATCCCCAGAACCTGCTGGTAAAGAGAACTACTCTGGCAAGTTGTATTGACCCCCACAAGAAGACCACAGCATCCTCCCTCCCCCAAACTAATAAATACAATAAAAGCATAAGAAAAAGAGCCCGGCAGTGGTGACGCACGCCTTTAATCCCAGAACTCAGGAGTCAGAGACAGGCAGATCTCCACGAGTTTGAGGCCAGCCTGGTCTACAGAGTTTCAGGACAGCCAAAGGTACATAGAGAAACCATGGCTGTGCAGAAGGGGAAGAATCTTTATTTAAAAAAAAAAAAACAAGTCTTAAACTACCTGGCCCACTCCTGGCCTTTGGGGTAGGGGTGAAATCAGGCTGGGGAGAAGTGAAATGCACCTAACAGCCTGGAGTCAGAGCCGGGAAGCATGGGAACCCCAGTGAGAAGAGCCAGGTCTAAGGCACTCACGTGTTTCCTCCTCAACAGCAGAGGAAGAGGGCTCAGGACATCAGAGCCCAAAGCAGGCGGGTCACCCCAGGTCATAACCCAGGTAAGGCGCTTGGGCTTAGCCCAGGGGATGGGGGAAGTGGCTGGTGAGATTAGTTTAGAGGACAGTTAGTGGTATGGGGCAGGATGGAAGCCCAGAGGGGAAGTAGTGATTGTCCCTGGGTGTGTCCCCTGTGGGTACCTCGCCATCACCCACTTTCTGCACCGTCCTCAACAACCATAGCTTTCAGGATAGGACAAGACTACTTGCAGAGGCAAAAGGGCCGCCAACAAGGCCACCATCCAGCCACCTTCTGGTAGAACTCAAAGCCCCCTGTTCCTTGTTCCCTTTGGCCCAGGGCACATCTCCATCCCACCTTCTCTGCGCACCTAACCCTGCCAAGCACACAGCAGATATTAAACATTCAGTAGTGCTTGTTGCTTTTCTCAGACAGGGTTTCTCTGTGGAACAGCTCTGGCTGTCCTGGAGCTCTCTCTGTAGACCAGGCTGGCCTCGAACTCATAGAGATCCACCTGCCTCTGCCTCCCGAGTGCTGAGATCAAAGGCGTGCGCTGCTAACACCCAGCTACAGTAGTACTTTTCTTTTTATTAAAAGGCCAAAGCCTCGGTTGCAGGATGGTTTCCTCCCTGCCACCTCTGGCTGTCGATTGCATACTAATTGCGGCTGTTGGTCTGCCACCTGCACACTTACCATTAGAAGTACTGGCGCTGAGATTATGTGCCATTAATCACCCTTTAATCAAGTCACTGAGTCATGTGACCCTCGCCTCCTTGTTTTGTTGCTCAAGTCTACAGAGCCCACTCACCTTTGGAGGATCGTCTGGGGACTCTCCCGGTCCAGCCCGGCTTGCCATCCCTGTTCCCTCTGTGAGCCTATCCTCACTTCCCCTTTGGGGTCAACCCTTGTGCTCTCTCCACTGAACCTTTCTGACTGTGTTGTCTTGTTTTCTGAGGCAGGGTCTTGCTATGTAGCCCAGGATGACTTGGGTCTGACTATGTATGCCGTCAGCCTTCACTACTTCAGGGTGCTGTGACCAATGCTCCACAGAAACACCCACAAAACATGCCTCCTGCCACATCGTTCCCACTGTTGGTTGTGGCTCCCACGGCCTTCCGTTCAACAAATATGACCCATGAAACAGTTGCCTGGCCGGGCGGTAGCGCACACCTTTAATCCCAGCACTCAGGAGGCAGAGGCAGGCCATCTCTGTGAGTTTGAGGCCAGCCTGAGCTACAGGGTGAGTTCCAGGACAGTCAAGGATACGTAGTTTGACACTGTCTCTTAAAAAACACAAGCTTACTTGCCTGACAGTGTAGACCTGCAGTGCCAGCACTCAGGAGGGGGAAACAGGAGGATCATGAGTTTGAAGCCAGTCTGGGCTACATGGGAAGACCCTGTCACAAAAGAACAAAATATTTAGTGAACCTCTGTTTAACAAACACCTTACAAATAAATGGAGTCCCTCCTAAAGGAGAAGAGAGAGTTGGGATATAAATGCAATGGAATAATGGAGACATTCTTCTACAGTTGATCAAAATGGTCTGCCTTCAGTACAGCACAGGGCTAAGGCCACCGATAGGTGGGGCCTGAGTGTTTCCCAAACAGCCCAGCGTCTTCCAAGGAAAATCGTGTGTGTGGGAGAAAGGTACCCTTCTTTTCTGTGGTGCTCCCTGCTCCTTGGCCTATTTCTTCCTAGTTATAGCTGAGCTGCATCAGCCACAGGCAGTGAAGAGGCTGTACACCCACCCATCAGCCCCAGAGAGGCTGTACACCCACCCATCAGCCCCAGAGAGGCTGTACACCTACCCATCAGCCCCAGAGAGGCTGTACACCTACCCGTCAGCCCCAGAGGCTGGGCCCACTGAGAGCAGAAGAGGGAAGAAAGGGAGTCAACTACAAATAATAAGTTGAGGTTTGGGGTATCCTCAGAAGAAGGGGGAAGGCCTTAACCGAGGGTCACATATACAAATATGCATTTGCACACACTCTCTGTCTGTCTCTCTCACGCACTCGCGCGCGCGCACACACACACACACACACAGGTCAGGAAATCAACCCTGGGGCCCAGACTTCCCCAACAGGTCCACCCACCAAGCTCTGCCCTCTGAGAATTGTCACTCACCCCAGCTCCAAAGTAGAGCTGTAGGAACCTCCAGCCTAGCCTGTCGACACTGTCTAGTGACCCTCCGTGACCACAGGCTGAGGTACGAGCGGTCTCTCCGCACAGCAGACAGTCCTGTCTCACTGTCCAGGTGACCTCATCACCCTACCTCCTCGTGGACAGAGCCTTCATTCCCTTTGCCCCTCTAGGGCCCTGACAAGATTCCTGGGTGTTGGTGAGTGTTCAGCTTGCCACCAGTGCCATCGTCCCCATAGCCTGCATCCTAGAGACCCGCACTACTCTTCACCACGGATCAGAAGACATTTCCTTGTGGCCTCAGAACCTACCCCAAAAACAGCCTTTGGGGGCTGAGAGTGGGGAGATGCATCACCCAGAAGAAGAGCCAGATACTGGCCCTTGAACCTTAGGGTTCCCCATCTTCCCCAAAAGTGCCAGCCTGCAGCAAGGCTGGCTGGGTCCCAAGCCCTCTTCCCAGTTCCTGAGGGTGAGTAGGTTGGCCTCTCAGCTGACTTGAAGACTTGTGACCTCAGGGGGGCGCAGGGAAGCACTAAGCGTCACTTCCAGCTGCACCCACCCTCTGCCACTGTCTGGTGTTCTGGGGACCAGAGTCGCCCTCCTTCCTGGTGGTCAGCAGGTTCCAGCATGGTGCAGACCCTCTCCTTCAGCAGCTCAGCACTTACACCATAGTTGGCAAGTCTAGAACCACCGGGTCCCAGTACCTCACCGGTGTGAGTTCTACCATTGCCAAAAAGGGTGGGAGGCCTCAAGCAGCCAGACCAGTGAGCCTGTGCCGAAGAAGAAGCAATTAGGGAGGTTTGAGGAGGCCGCTCTATCCCCACAGCTAAGACAAAGGTCAGCATTACGGGCCTTCGGCCCAGCTGCTCCAGCATGGAAACCCCCTCCAGCCACCACCTTGCCCTCCACACTCACAGTCCCTTTGTGGGTATACTAGGCAGTGATGGAGCCATACTCGTTGCTCTCAAAGGAACTCTAGCAGGTGACTCCACCCCAGGCACCTGATAGCACCGGCTAGGGGATGGGTGAACTCTAGGCCAGGGAGTCCCCTGCTTGGTAACCAAGGAAGAGAGCTGTAGGGAGCCAGCTTTGCCATCTACCAAGGGCCCCAGGTGACATCCTGTTTAATCCCTATCACTCCCCAAGAGCCGAAAGTTCCCCAGCTGCCCCACCCCACAGGGAAGGGAGGCAAAAGTTAATTCACATCCAACTTCCTTGTCAACCCACAGGCAAACCACTGCTAGGCCTGTGGCCTCCTCCCTGAGGCTGAGAAGGAGGAACACCTAGGCTAAGAACTTCTCTGGAGAGCATGGGCAACCATCACTACAGGGCTAGCAAGCCAAATACAGCTGCATAGCCGGTCCACACAGCATTCTTCTCCGGAGTGCAGTCTCCTTACCCCCTTCCAAAGAACTCGCATGCTCCCGAGGGAACTTACCCCAGAGGCCGTACATGTCTGCCACCACGTCATATGGATTCATCCCAAATAGGAATGCAGCCTGGGGGAGCTGCTGGCTCACAGGGCCAGTGACAGCAGTACCAAGACCCCTTCTGTCCTCCCCGCTCTGCAGCTGGATCAAGGATTCACAAATGCTGCCTTGGGGGGACAGAGCTGCCAACAAACCCAGGACACTGAGGCTGGGCACTGCCAGTGGCCTAGGCTTGAGGGCTGAGATGTCTCCAGTGCCCAGAAAGAAATGTGCACGATAGCTGGGCCAGGGTTGTGGGCCACCCCTGTGATCCCAGCCCTGTGTTCAAGGCTGGAGTAATCTACTTGCCAAGGAAGGTCCTTGAAACCTTGACTTAGGGTAGCTGAAACCTCTGGGGACACACCCAGGACCTGGACTTTTTCTCCTGTACTTCCCAAAGGCAGGCCATTTTTATCTCGTTCAGAAAATACTTAGCCAACTAAGCCACCGGTAGGGGCTTGGTTGAGTGGGTCACTCCCTCCACTCCAGGGTGGGTGAGGAGGGCCCTGTCCTGTCCCCATTCCTGACTGCTCAATCCTAGCTGGGCTGAGAGTGAGTAGCCCCGCCCACCCTCTGGGCTGCTTGCGATCAATGGAGGCGATCACATTTCCAAAGGCCCAGGCCCGAGGACTGCAGAGCTGGGGCAGGGACCTGGATAATGGCCTGGATTGAAGAAGCAAATGGAGGATAGGGGAGGGCTAAAGTCTGCAAAATCCACTGCATGGGGACTCTGGGAAGTGGCTAGCCCAGGCAGCCCAACACCAGGCAACAAGGCAAGGGGCTTGCCCAGAAGGCAGTAGGGGTCACCGTGCCTGAAAAACACAAAAGGTTCGGGGTAGACTGGACCACAGGAGGGGCAAACCTCACCAACTGCTCTGGTACCCAATGAGAGGTGAATCCTTTGGCGATAGCACAGACAGCCAAGGTCCTGCTTGACAGGGTGAGCCCTCTCCCACCTGCCCTGGCCAGCATGATCAGGAAGCCAGTTCCCCGGGGAGTCCAGCCAGCCTGCTAGCCTCCACTCACCCGAAGTTACTACTGTGGGTGACCTTTCACCCAGGCCTAGAACTGGCTGGATGAGAATCACAAAGCTATGGCCCCAGAGGTGTGAGGCCCTGTGCCTGGCAGGAGCTATAGAACTAGCCGAGCCTGCACCTGCTACCGAGGGTTCAGCAAAGCCTCCACCCATGCCAATGTGAGAGGCAAGACCTCCCAGGGTCTGAGGACTGCTTTGGCTAGGGATAGGGAGCCAGCCTGGGGTGGTCCCTGAGTGGTGGACAGGAAGGAGCAGAGGGACTCAGTCTTAAGTAGAGACTGAGACAGCCATAGCCAAATGCCTGCCACCACCCAGAGACAGCGCCAGGGCCTTACAGAGCAAGACCTGGAAGAGCCTTGGCCAGAGCAGTAGTCTCTTCCATTGTGACATAAGCAATCTGTCCCTTTTCCACAGTGCTCAGACCTTCTGCACGGGTACACACTAGCACCATGCCCCAGAGATTTATGGGAGCTCCCCCTGTGTTTGGCAATAGTAGGGACAAATGTCCTGACTGTCCTACACGATCCCCAGGGCACCCAAGCAGGCAGCCCTGGATGCTCACCCGTTATGATGAGCAGCCAACTGGATTGGTTGATATCTAACTTCCAGACCCAACCACACACATTCTCCTGACCTAGCCCCAGCCCTCTTCAGCTTGGCAACCCAAAATGACTCAGTCATTGGATTGAGGAGTGACTGGCCCCTGCATGAGGTTCCCCAGGGAGAAGCAGCCTCATTAGAGGCAGGCCCGATCACTTCAAGTATGATGGCTACATGATGGTCAGTGGACCAGGTCAGCCAGCTGACCTCACTGCCTGCCAGTCACCTGAGCTTCACCCAAGAGCCTGGCTGGTGGACTCCTCCCAGCTGTATGGATCAGGTCCACATCTCCTCCATCTTGGAGACCAGGGTCAGAGCGAAGATTCACCCAGCCCTGGGCTATATCAGTAAACCCCACAGAGCAAGGCCACTGGGGTCAATACCTGGTGGTGACTGAAGAAGAACTATATTAACCCACTCCACTACTCATGGACCTGTAGCCTGGCTTTCTTCCCAAGGCATCCATTTCTCCATCCGTGAGACGACTCTATCAACGGCACGCTCCATGTGGCTGTGGGAGATGAGAGATTACATGTTATGACCCATGCATGGGCATGAGCAGCACAGGGCTGGTGAGTTACGGGGGTCTAAGGATGCAGGAAACACCGCTGGTGTGAAGGTGAAGGCCACAACCGACTTTGCCCCAGAACCTTCCCGGCATTCCAGTGCCAAACCACACTAGACCACACTAGTTTCCCTCCTCTCATCACCACCAGAGGTGAGCTCCAGGTAGGCTCTAGGGATAGTGGCCTTCATAAAACATGCAGGCTGAGCACAGGACACCCTCACTGCCTGGAATTGCTTCCCTGGAACCCTGTAGCAGAAGGCCAGGCCCCATTCTGCCACAAGAGGTCTCACCCCAGGGGTATGCTGGCAGCCCAGCAGGGCGTCTCTTACTCATGGCATCACAGAAGCAGGCCCTACAGATGGTGACCCCCCACCCCCACCCCCAGCAACTCCATCTGTTGGCCCAGCTCAGATTGCCCAGCTCTGACTCCACTCTGGCCCCAGGCAGTGTAAGGCGATCTGGCTGCCCACCAGGATGGGGTTGCACCCTCACCCAACATGAAGCCAGATGGGCCAGGAACTGGTGAGAAGCATAGACCTGGAGATGCAGGGGGAGGTGACCGTGGCCGCAGCAGCCTGCTTTTCCCATATTGGCACTGCACATGATTGCTCAGAGCGGAGAGACACAAGCAAAAATGTGCTAGTGCCAAAATCGGCCAAGCAGATGGTACTGGAACAAGCCCTCTGTGGACAGAGTGGACGAGGAGGTCTTTGCACCCCTGCGCCCCTGGAGATGTCGACGTCCAGGCAAAAGGGGGTGAGGTGCTCTGAGGCACTCGCGGTTCTGTCTCTGCTCTGTTTATGGCCCTTCGGTAATTCACTGACTGAGACTGTTCACAGTGAATTCTACCAGTGCCATACACAGAACAGGAGTCACACTCTCCAGCCTGCAGACCCTGCAGGGCCCAGCTGCCCTCTCCTGGTAGCCTCAACACCCAGTAGGGACTCCAACCCCACTCCCACCTCTAACGCTGTCACCCACAGCTCAGCAACCCTCCTCACCCATGCCCAAAGTGACCTTCAAGGAGAGAAGAACAACAGGAGAAAGACTGATTTCTTGGATTTGCAGAGGCTCACATCCCTCTACCACCATGCAAACAATCCATCCATCTTTTTGCCAAGGTCAGCAAGCAGCCGCCGGGTCTACCTAGGACGGTCATACCAGACCTCACCCAGTGCTGAATGGGCAGTGACAAGGACATCCGGGATGCTTCTCATGGCCTCTGAGCCCAGAGACCAACAGCTCCACAGCACAAGCCCAGAAGGCAGGACTCTGAAATGCCCTGGATGGGCACCTTTGCTGCTTGACCAGGGCCAAGATGGAGACAGGAGGCTCCTTCAGATAAGGAGGTAGCTCGGAAGGAGCTAGGGTGAACTGTCTCTGGCCAGAGCCTGTGGAAGCAGCGTCTGGAAGGCTCTGAGAGTGCTCTGGAAGGAGGTGGAGGCCAGAGAGCCAAGGGAGGGCAGGGGCGGTTGCATCAGTGGTTGTCACAGACGCGGTGGAGGCCCTTACCTCTGGTGCCAGTGCCCTGGGGAGAGTAGGTCTCCCTGGAGCTGGCCCCTAGGGCATGAGACTCTGTAGAGAGCAGCCAACATAGGCTCAGCCTACCCCAGGCCAGCCTGGAGCCCAGGGGGGAAGTGAGAGGGGAGAGGAAATACATTGGAAGGGATGGTCCCATAGTAAGAGTTCTCCGGCTCAGAGACCTTGTAAACTTTTAGTGCAGGCTACCCCAAGCCCTCAGTCCCAGACTTGATAACATACATGTGGGGCTTGGACACAAAACTCACTATTAGTAGACTCTGAACCTCCAGCCCCTCTCCCCAGAGGCCATTTCAGCTTGACTTGGTGGGGGTCTGGAGAAGTTAATTCCTGGTCTTTGGCCTCGGTTTCTCCAACTCTAATTATCTGAACTTGGGGGTTGAGAGCGGGGGCTATGTGTGAAGTGGGGGTGAATAGTTGTAGTCACAGTGTCCGTTGGAATCAGAATCACCAAGGAGCCCCTTGAAATGTGGATTCATGCCCCACTTGGAAATCCACATTTTAATATGGGCCTGGAGAATACGGAGCTGGGGAGAAGATGCTATTAGAGCTGTTTAGGAAACAGAGTCCTAAATTCTTTTTTTTTTTCCTCCCTGTTTCTATGGAACAGAGGCGTGGCACTGATGGGAGACACTCAAGGTACCAGTCTCCTGACAATTTAGGCTGGAGCTAAGGACTTCGCCATCCTCTGCCCAGGAAAAAAATAAAACATCGTAAGAAGGAGAATAGCCCCATAGCATCAAGTGCCTGGGCAGGCCCACCCTCCTGAGTGCATTTTCCTCTTCTTAACTGAAGGGGGATGAAGGGCAGGGAAGGCTCACAGAGCCAAGTACCTCTTCAGCATCCAGTTCTAGTCAGCTTGGTGAGGCTCCTCCCCACACAGCCTTGCCCCTCCTAATTCAAATGCGGCAGGAGATAATGCCGCAGTGCCTTGGCAGGGCCACACCCATGTCCACTGCCAGCGTCTACCCAACCAACAAACAGCCAAGCTGTAATCCTCAGACCTTGGTTGGAGCAGTATCAGGCCTGGGCCAGAGAAACTAGGATCTTCTAGGTCTCCTGGAAGGCGATGTGTAGAGCTCTGCAAAAGCATGGCTGGTCCTCCCCAAAGGGGAAGACCATGGCGCCTTGGCCAGGTCCTCACAACAGTCTCGTTTGCTATTCTTGTGGGCCAGAGCCCTGACCTTGAGATTAAAAACTAAGAAATCCACTTTTGATGGTGGGAAGAGGTAGTCTGCCAGCCTGGTAGGTGGGAACAATGAAAAGGGCATCAGAGCTATTGTGTGAGGGGAAACCGTAGTGTGCCTGTCCTAGGTGAGTGTGTTCCCTCATTGGCTGTAAGGTCCCCCTCCCCCAGCCCTACTCCCCTTGGCTAGTCTGGGCCCCACCCTCCTGAACTCTACTTGGATACTAAAAGCAATTTGCAGAATCATCCCTCGCTTTGTGGGGGGCTGGGAGTGGGGGTGGGGGTGGGGGAATCTTTTCCTGGGCACTTGCCCAACAGCGGTGTGCGCCTCTTCCCTCCTATCTCTCGGTACCAGAGCAGCTACCCAGAGGTGAGTGGTACAGGCGGGGTCTTGGGGGTCTTTTGCTATCATTCAGCCCCCGTAACTGTTCCGATCAACATCTACACAACGGATCTAGAGTCCCTGTTGCAAGTCTTCCCACCATCAATCGGCCCAGCACCAGTCATTTGTATCTCCATCGAACGCCCCGACGCCCTGAGGGCTGGGGCAGTCAGCCTGTCCACACGCTCAGGGCGTGGCCCAACCTCTCGGTGGGCCAGTGAGATCGCAGGCGCCCCTCAGGCTGCTTTCGATGCAGTCCAAGCCACCAGGGCATGCACCAATAACTCCAGTATGTGTAGCTGTGCATTGCACAAGCGCGTTCCGGGGCCACTGGACCCCGTTAATACTCCTAGTGGAAAATAAGAATAAACGAAATTCTCACAAGTGAGACTATTACAGTGAAATTGTTACTTTTTTGTGTAATGTCCCGCCCCGTTAATCACCATCACTGCTTGAAAGGGTGGCTAGAATCCCTGCAGGGGAAAAAAAGTGGAGGCTGGAAGACGGCCTCGATTCACGACTAGCCCACCAGGACCGGTTTCTTGGAAGGCTTGATTGACCTCGGAACAGAGACCTGGAAATGTGATGCCCAAATGGTTTGTGTGTGGCGGGCGGAGGATGGGAGGATGGTGCGGGCTAGGCGGAGCTCAGTGCCCCGGTCTCAGGACCGAGATGTAGCTCGGGCACCTGGTCCACGGTGTGAAAACTGAACTCTTTTTAAGGAGGTTAGCGAAGCCAACGGGAAGCCTGGAAGGCCTGGTCGTAGCCAGCTGACAGTGAAGGGGCCGGTCAGGGCAGCACTCCCCCTCCCATCCCTGCCCTAATCTCCTAGCCAGCATTACTTCCCTAGCGCTAGCAGGTATTTCCACGTTGGGTAGGGACTCCAGGGACGAAGGAAAGGAAAGTGAAGGTCTCGGCCTGTAGGGCTTCGCAGAATTGAACGACCCCTGACGACCCAGGCCGCATCCTCACTGCCCACAACCACAGGACACACCGACCGGCAAAACGTCTAAGACGCGTTCCGGGAGAATGACCCTGGGGACCTGGGGACCTGGGGACCTGGGGACCAGCCCTGGCTAACCGAAAGGGTGGTGACTCAGGACTGGTCTCCGCCTGCTCCAAGGCCGGAGGCTACGGAAGGAAGGCA